ACAAAGGACCATAATACATCGGACTAGTTCGAGTGTCGGGGTTGTTAGGTCAAGGTCAAAGTCACCGTTACTATTTTTAGAAAATCCTTGCCAGCGCTCTAGTGGCTTCAATCCTTCAGGGATTTTGATCAAACTTCACACATTAACAACGGACCATAATATCTCGGACATGTTTGAGTTTTAGGATTGTACAGTTGAGGTCAAGGCCACCGTTACTATTAATAGAAAATCCTGGACAAGTTGAAGCCAGTGATGGACTGATGATCGATATAAAATAATCAAACATCGATCGATTTGTCCTTTTAGATTCCGATTATCGATAACAAATTCCATAATTGATATAATCGGTTCATTTTTGAACTTAAAGTGTAAATGTGTATGTAATATACATGACCAGTGTACATGATAAATAACCATATTCCTTAAGGCCATGTCTGTGTTTACGATCGGCCATATGAATACTGGTTACACTAAATGAATATATACATATCTTTTTTCCTATTTTATTTTATATAGTTCCTCTGTCATAATACTAACATTACAATTTCTTGTATTATTATTACATTAAAATCAGTTTCAAGCTAATTGTATACTTTTCATTTTCCCAAATTAACACCAAAGGGTACCATTTTTATAAATCAATACAGTGTGACAGCTAGCGGAAGCCGGTAGGGGACATGTATTGCTTTAGCAATACTCAGTATGGTTGTTTTATATGCATTTATTATATTCTTCTATGATTGTATATCTTGACAATTGCGAAGGTATACTAATGTGTTACAAAACACTGGCTTATTATTATATACAAATGAAAACAAGCAATTTCAAGGAATTTGTATCCCCAGCTGGTAGGACAAGTTTTTACCTCTACTTTATAAACTGCCAATATATATATACATGTTCAGATCACATTCACGAACGAAATAAACATGTCAACATTTACATGCATGTGCATAATACATTTCGTTGAAACCAAGCAAAGAGACCAATTAGCCAATAGAAATGTGGAATTCTCATTAATTGTGCGTAAATGCACGCATCCCACGGACAATCAGATTCGGGGGAAACATAAATGTCCATCTGAACCGTTCGGGGGG